AAAAAAAAACTCTATTCTTAAGTACCACCCTTGACTATCAAGATAGGTATAGAGCTATAATATGGAGTTTTGAATTGTAAAGTGAACTCAGTCAACTTTGTCTTTTCAAAATGCATGATATTTTTGCTCATATTCTAACACTGTTAGAGAGAATATTTCACAAGGACCAGAATTAAAAGTTTATGTGTATCTGTAAGTCGAAAGATTCAACAAAATTTTTTTCCCAAAACCTCGATTTTGCTTTGCTAAGACATTGTAAACGTCATGTTATATTTGATTTTAACGTCTATTCTAAGAACATATGGGCCCACATCAGCTACTGCATTCATCACATCAAAAATTCTTGGCATTGAATTCATTAAAACAGGTTTGACTGTAGATGGCTACGAAAATTCAGTGCGATCATCCTTAGAAGCGCTTTCCTAGGGGTCCTTGCTATCCAGTGCATGATCAGTCGCTGGTGGACATATCTTGAATACTTGAATATAAAAAAAGGAAGTTGAGCTGTTTTCAAACTAATGAAATGTTTAGAAATAATGTCCAATTTGGAAGTGCTGTTCTGACCACAACTGAGCACTTTCAAACACGTAAATCATCTACAGCAGTTGACTGAAGTTATGAGAAACAAAAGTAATTTGTATCTATTTTTTTCGATAGCATTGGGACAGAAAAGGGTTAGTGCTAATAAATAGTGTTCGATCTTTAATAATCACACGCGCAAGGTGTTCCTACCTTGTTTTAATAAAATTGGCTTTGGCAACTGCTTCATTTGAATGCAAAATAGTTCTTTATAAAGGACATTCATGAATTTTTGGAGTAGGTTCCAAGCAACACAAACAAGTGAACATCGGCATTGTGCCCTTCCGATTCTATTACTTTACTAATATGACTGGCTGATATATTGTTCGTTGGAGTTGGCAAAGAGAAAATTACAAGTCTAGTTAATAACTTTTTGAATAATCATACTTAATAAATTTCTATCATTTCCGAACCGGGGTCAAGTTTTCTTACAAAAATTTTGCACAAGTTTAGGACTCCTAAGATATGTGTCAGGGCTGAAACTTGCAAGAGCTTTTTAGATTTGTAGAAAAAGAGCTTAAGGAACGTGGGTTTGATGCGTCAACGTCATCTAAGCCTCGACCTAACCAAGCACTAACACGTTCCATCTGAGAAATTTGACTGAAAAATGCAGAATTATTTTGGGCTATGGCCTGTCCAAATCTTTAGGGAAAAGCTTACTTGGACATAAGTTTGATGAGCGTTTCAATTTTGAAATTTGAGGAGCGCCAGGAACAAAAGAGCAAGAAATGGTGATAAGAATTTTACAGCAAATATCACAAATCGTTTAGCAAATCAAAAGTAGTTGTAGCCGATTTGTAGAAATAGGAACGTGGACAGTTGCTCTTTACCACTTACCTGTTTTGTGCCATTTCCAAGATATTTTAAAGATGACTGTTGAACACAAATCATTTTTAGAATTGTACCTTTGTGTCGTTTTTGGAAGTAGAGTTATTATTCTTAAACGAAATTGAAGATTAAAACAAATTTTTTAGTCTTTACGAAATTGCAGGTGTATGTGCAAGAAAATGTTCGGAGTTTGAACAAAGTTTTACCTCTCCTCCGGCGACTCCGGGCTCACTTCATCGTCGTTCTCCTTTACCGATATGCTTGACGACGATATGGATTCGGCCTTGAAGTCGCGGAACATCAAACATGAATCGACAATGGGCACCTATGATCTGCAACTGCTTATGTAAAG